CCTGGATTTTCAGTAGATCCTGCTCCAGGAGAGCTTTTGTGTGGTGCTGGCTGAAAACACAGCAAAGCACAGTGTGCTTCCCATGCCAGCGGCTGCTGAGAGGTGCTGGGCGATGTTTTCCACTGCCCAGGGGGGTTCTACCCCTCCGCCTCCCCCGTGGTTTTTTGGGAGAATAGAGCACTGTGAGAGGAAGCAGCCCTGCAGCTGCCCTTCAGTGCTGACTCCTGCTCAGCTGCTGGCAGGCTGGGCTGGTAATGACAGATGAGCCAGTGACGCGTTTTTGGGAATGAATACTTGTTACAGCTGGCGGGATGGAGCAGTTTGTGGCATCACATGGCACTTTGCTCTATAATTTCGCTCCCTATTGCTCGGATGCAGCACTGATTGCTGGGTCTCTCTCCGAGTGTGGAACTGGAGCATTTCTGATTGCTGCATCCCACTTCTCTGTGGCTGCATTGTGAGCTTGGATATAGCCCTGAGCACTCAGCACAGCCTTCTGCTGATTTTTTTTCTCCCCCTCAGTTCTCCCTGTGTGTGTGTGTGTGTGTGTGTGTGTGTGTGTGTGTGTGTGTGTGGCTGCTGCTTCCCTTTCTGCAAGTCTTTTGGGGTTACATAAAAGCCAGTCTCTTTCTGGCCATTACAGCTACATGGGGGAGTAGTTACTGCTGAGAGAAGCTTGAAATTTGAAGCAGAGTTGTCACAGACATTAGAAAGAACAGTCGGTCTGCGTTGGCAAGCTACTGAGTTAAGACTTATTTCATAGTGATGGGAATTTCAGATCTGATTATCTCCTTTTCCCCTCATTCCCAAACCTGCTGCTGTGTCTAGTCCCCCGATGGGCACTCCTGGAGGTGGCTCTCCAAAGCTCTCGGCTGAAGGCTTGGTCTCCTTGCCTGTGCTGTGTCTGTGTCCAGAGGATTCTGTAAGCCCTGCCGAGGGCAGGGTGCTTGGTCACCCTGACGTACTTGGAAATCAAGCCTAAATTCCCTTCCCCAAAAAAAGCACTCTGCCCTCCTTAGGTGCTTTGTGCTACAGCAGACACTGTGACAGATGATCTCACTGCTGGGGTCCAGATTTATTTGCAGATGGTCCCTGATCTAAGAGGTTGTGTGTCACATTGAGCGGGGAATTACCCAGGTGACTCCCAGTAACGCTATGCTAACTGGTCAAATACCAGCGAGGAGAGCCTTGCCAGATCTGTCCCTCCAACTCACCTGTTATTTACAGCTCTTTGTGTGCCTTGCATCCGCAGGGCTCGTCCTTGGAGTCCTGCCTGCCTTCTCTGCACCACCACAGTGACTGTGCTATCTGCCTGCTCTACAAAAAAAAAAAAGCCCAAAAAACAGGTCTGGTTCCTCTCTTGCTGTGCAGTGCTGTTTTCTGTTCTGCTCCAAACCACTTGTTAAGGAGTGTTTGCTCTGAGTTGCTGTTTTCAGTTGACAGAGCTCCCCTTGGAAAGCAAATACTCAATCCTAAAACATCCCTGTATTGCTTCTCAATAGTCGTAATCAAAGTCTGTCTCCTTTATTGTTCCTAACAATTGTTCAGTTTTACTGTGCCAGCCCTATTTATTAAAAATAGTCAATAAGACGCAGCTTTGTGCGAGGGGTTTGTGGACTGGCAGTTCTTGTTTGAAACAAACCAATTGTACTTGATTCTAATCCAGAGCTGGGATTCCTGAGTGATCTGCTGCAGCAGAGCTCCTGGGGAGAGCAGTCGATGGCTTGCTGATAAGAAATCTTGGAGCAGCATGCTTATCTTGGATTTACCTCGGCTTTGCTGAAAGTGCTGGGTTTGGAAAGGCAAGAATTGCAAGTCACACTTTTCTCCCCCTTTAGAGCCTGTGTTGGGCCACGCTTGTTCCCCAGTGCCCAAGAGTATTTACAGAACTAATTGCCAAAGTTAGAATCCTCTTAAAAGCTGGTGAGCAGGACGTTCAAGGTGAGAGCTTGCTGTGGTGGGAAGCAGGGTGTCAGCTCAGCAGCCATGGGAAGGAGCTCATGGATCCTGCTGTCTTGGAAAAACAGGAGGTGTCCGAGAGCACGATGTGTGCAGTGAGAAAGGACAGGAGCTGTCAGGAAGGATAATGGGGAGCAAAAACCCAGTGAATCCTGGAAGCAAGGTGCCAGTTGAGGCTGAAGGATCAGTAGGAATGTAGGAGCATTTTTTGTGCTCAGCAAACTCTTGTGGTGTGGAGCAGGCCAGGGCTCGGCAGTGGCTGTGTAAGCATTTTGGGAGAGGGGAAAGTCTGAGGCATCCTGGCAATGCCCGGCTGTAGGTGGGGCAGCAAGGGGAGAGGAGCTGCGGGGCAAAGCTGGGCTTTTCACATGGTTTGGCTTTTAGTCACTGCTGTCACAACATCAGCAAGGCTCTTGGAGCCTTCTGAGTCAAGTCATGGCTTGGAGGCTGCAGAGGAAGTGCTTGGGAGCAGGTAGGAAGGGTCTGGTTCAAGTGGGAGAGGAAAATCATTTGTTTCCTAGTTTTTAAGAAGGTGTGAAGCACAGTGGTTGGGAGGATGAGTCTTTTGAACGTGGATTGATGCAGCAGGGTTTGTGGATTTTCCTTACGGCTCTTCCAGCCAGCAGAGATCACTGAACTTCTTTCTTCTCACTGTGTTTCAATTTGATGCCTTTCTTTGTTTTCCATATTCATTAGAAATCTGTTGCAGAGTTTTCTGTTTCTAGAGGCAGTTTCCTTTTACTTCTAACATTCTTGATCTCCTCTCCTGTTACACTAGGATTAGGGCAGCTCCTCTGTGCCCATGTCATTCTTGCAGCTTCTTTAAAAACAGTGTTTGCACCCCAAAACTCTACACTCCTGAAACAAATCTAATCTCCAGCATTCATAAGCAAATGGAAACGCTTATCTTTGCCCCAAAGATAAGGATTTTCGGCCTTGCAATTCATTTAAGTTGGATCTGAATGGTAGGATTTAGTTATAATATATGGTCTGTGGTCATTGTGTGACAGTGACTAATGCCTGATGGCCAGGCTGGCCAGCAGGGTGGAATTCTGCTGTGCTGTCATGGCCTGAGCACGGGCAGTGAAGCAGCTCTGGATGGCCCGTGCTTGGCACTGCCCTGTCAGTCACCTCCTCCATGACTCCCTTCAAGAATAAAGCACGAGCCTCCCAGAAAGCCTTTTCAGCTCTGGCCCTTCTTTCATTTACTGTCACTTCTCCCTGCCCCCAGCTCATGCCTTGTGCTGCCTCCAGTGTTTTGCTTCCTCTTCCTCCTTCCCCCTTTGCTCTCATACCTTGTCCCTTCTCCACACCTGGTTTTCTGCCCTACCTGACTCCTGCTTTTGAAATACACCACTTATTTTCCAGTCCACACCATTAATCTTTGTCCCACCTACTCACGAGGCATGAAGGTTTTACAGGAGCCCATTAGCTGTTATCTCTATCCCTCCAAACACTCCAGGAAAAAGCAAGGTCTCACAGTCTTCTTTTGGGGGCATCACCTGCTCTTTTTGCAGCTCCCAGATTTCCTTCATAAAATCTTGAAGCTCCTCATCCTTCTGTTCAGGTGAGAGGAATTTTTGCTTTAAAATGCCTCCTATCCCAAAGCTGCTGGCAGAGCAGGGTGGTTGTCCCCAGCCCATCCTGCCCTTCCTGCCTTGATCGTCTCCAGTGCTCCACAGGGTTCATTTAATCCCTCAGTCTGCTGGGTCCTGGCTGGGTTTAGGGGCAGCAGAGCTGTCCCCGTGGCCTTGGGAGGGGCTGCTGTGATCATGAGGGCAAAACTCCTCTTCTGCAGTGGAGTGTGGCTGGAGGACGAGCTGGGCTATAAAGGGAATCTTTGCCTTGGCCCTTGCCTCTGCTGTCTTGCACCAGTGCAAATTTGTGCTGTACATGTGCTCTATCTTAATTTTTCTTTTAAGAAGAGCAGTCCTCACCACTACTTCTTGTTTTACTTTCAAAACATGCTCTGAAGGCAAACACTTTTGGGGTGTCTGTAACAGGCAGCATATCCAGAGCCTTTTTTTTGTTGGTATTTGAGGCACTGCTCCCATTCTCTGCCCTGTTTTCCCCATCCTTGCGTAGATCAATGTTACCAGCATTTATCCACCCATGCTCCCCATCATCATGGGGGTTTTTTTTGTCTCCTTTTATACAGCACACTCATATCTAATCCCCCCACTTCCAGGCTTATTTTTCCTCTTGCTGTTTTCCTTCTGTCTGTCCTCCACCTTGGAAGGTTTCCAGCCAGGCTGTCCAGCCCAGCTCTGCAGATCCCACCGTGTGTGCTCCCTGGCCAAGCCCTGGGGAAGCACAGGGGAGAAGCTGGATGCAGGCAGCCTGCAAATGCTGCCTTGTTTATGAGAGCTGCTTGTTGGTGCAGACTGCAGTCTGGGGGGAGCTGGGAAAGTTTGTCTGGCATGAAGCACTAAAGCTGACAAAAGATTGTAGGGCTTGGGCTGGAATCGATAAAACACAGGGTGTTGGGAAGGGAAGGTCAGAGCCCTTCCTTACTTCACCCTGTTCTTTAAATATCCCAGCAGTTACTGATGGCTGCAGTGGACACAGGAAAAACAACACAGACTCGATCCTCAGAGGGTCTTGCTTTTATTTATTTGGATGCAGATCTGGCCCCCCTCTTCCTTGAGGTGCTCGGTTTTGGGGAGCCTTTCTGTGCAGCCTGCTCTCATGGCAGGAGGTTGGAACAGGATGAGCTCTAAGGTCCCTTCCAACCCAAACCATCCTGGCATTCTGAGATGCTGTGAAATCCCTCGTGTAGAGGCGTTGCAAAATGGTAGCAACCTACATCTGCTTGTCTGGGAGATATCCCAGAGCCCGGTGCTGCAGCTCTTGAACTCCTCTGCCTTAATGGGTCAAATTTAGCAATTCAAAATCTGGCTTCTGAGGTAATTAGGAGGGATAATGCCCACTTCTTCCTCTTAACACCCTGATAGAAAAGCATCCAGGAAGGACTCCTGGACCTCAAAGATAAGCTGCCAGCTGCCACAGAGACTATCAAAGGGTGGCTCAAAGTCAAGAGCAAACAGCTGATTTTTTATGGTTCTTGGGTTTTTGCTGGTGGTGACAGGAAGCCATGTTCCCCAAGCTGTTCGCTTCCTGTTTTATTTTTACACCCAGCCCGAGCAGATCCGCATGCCTATCACATGGGAGCTGCCTGCTTCTCTTGGGTTGTTCCTCAGCTGACCTAGAAAAGTGATTCTTTCCCCTTCTAAATTAATCAAGAACTTGGGATGTATTTGCTTTCGCTTAGTCCTAAAGATTTCAGACATGTATGATGCTCCATGTAGTGAGCTGGTCACACAGGTTTCCCTCTCCCTCTTGGAGCTGGACGATCTGGGAGGGAGCTGTTTGATGCTTCAACGTTTGGGTCTCTTAGCAAAGGAGATTTTTGTTAGTTCAAGGCACTGACCTGCGCATAAAAGTGTTTTCTGTCCAAAGCATAACTTCCGGACACTTAGGTTTTCTTCAGGTTTATTTTTTTTGGTTTTTTTTAATTAGTTTTTTAAAGAACTGGAAGTTTGTCCTGCCTGTTTTACAATCAACCCTGACTTGTTTCTGAGCACACTCCAGTCCTGCATCCTGGTTAGAGCTCCCTCAACCTCAAACTGCTCTAGCACGAAAACAATGGTGCAGTGTAAAGCTCATCCCCGGGGGATTTCCCAAGGGAAGAGGGGTGCAGCCTGCAGGATAAGGAACAGTCACCAGAAAGTTTCCTGGTCAGCTGCAAGCGCTTCCTGTTGTTGCAGGAGAGCCCGGTGTGCTGCTCCAGGGGGGAGGCACCACGCGTGCTTTGGGAGAAGCTGTTCTGTTCTTTCTTTTTTTTGGTATAATGACATCTCCTGTCCTCACCTCGGTGCTTTAAGCAGCTATTGCCTGGGAGTTGGGAATGTTTGTGCAGAGGAGCTCCTGGGAGCCGTGGCAGGCGCAGTGTGAGCCCTGTGGGCCCCGGCTGGGCAGGAAGGGAGCAGCGGCTGCGGCGTGGCCAGCAGCTCTGGGAACGTGGGCGAGCACGTGGAGCTCCGTCTCTGCCTCTGTACCTGGGCTGGTGGGGCTCTGCTGTCACTGCAGCCAGAGAACAGGAGGATCTTTATTCCTGATGAACCACTTTTCTCAGGGTGGGGAGGAGGGGGAAGAAGGCTTATAAGTAAAGCCGTTTGAGAGCAGGAAAAACGAACACCATGGCTCTGGTGTGCCTGGAATTTGCGGTTGAGTAATCCTTTCCTGTTTCTTTTTTGGGTTGTTTTTCATCTTTCAGAACAGTGCCTGAAGCAGGTCCACCATGCCGTTAGTAACGAGGAACATTGAGCCAAGGCACCTGTGCCGTCAGACGTTGCCTAGCGTTCAGAGCGAGCTGGAATGCGTGACCAACATCACCCTGGCAAATGTCATTCGACAGCTGGGCAGCCTGAGTGAGTACCATGGCGAGCCTGCGCCGTGCCCTCAGGAGTCGCTACTGCTCTTTATTTAGCTCCCTTTCTACTCTCGTGTTCCTATTTCTCCCCCATCTGCCTTCCCTGGGTAATGCTAAAATGTTTTCCTAAAGAAATCTGATGCTAATTTCATATCCCTGGTCCCACTGCCTTCCTATCTAAGAGAAAATGGGGAGGGGGGTGTGTGTATGTGTGTGTGCATGTGAGAGGCTGCAGTGAAACTGCAGATGGAAGGATGGAGCACAACTCAGGCTTGTAAAATGGGAGGCTCTCGGAGCAGGCAGGATCTTGTGTCAGAGAACGTGCCTGTAATTGCATGTGCTACTAAATGGAGCTTGACTCTGTTGAATCTACACCATGTCAGTAGTCTTATTTTTAATGAAAGATAATTAAAGCCCCCCCCGGAAGCTGCTGTTTGCCCTTGCTGCCGTTTGTTGTGTTGTGAGACCCAAAGACCTGTGTGAGCCCAGTGGTGCCTCCAGAGCGTTGGTGTTTGGGGCTGCTCACTCCAGTGGCAGCGTGAGCTGGAGCCATGCCTGGCTCAGCTCTCCAGTGGGCTGACCCATAGCCTTGGAAAAGCTGGAGGGAAAACACGGGTCTACATGCCATAGGAGAAATGAAGAGTTAATTGTGGTCTCTCCGGGATGACTCCATACTCTTGAAATGCTCTGGGTTCTGATTAACCACCTTTGTCCTTGAAGCGAGACTTTGATAATCAAATTAATCTATTGTTCAGCTTCTCTGGGGTGTTTGCAAGCCCTTCTGCTTGCTCTGCAAAGCAAGCCCTTGTCTTCCGCCATGTGGCAGGCAAAGTTTGGGTGCAGGCTCTTTCCAGCAGTGCAAACCGTGGCTGTCACTGAAATCTGGGCCCGTGTTTGCTGCCAGTCGGTGTCACATTCTGTTGGGTTGGAGAAATGTCACTGCACAGGCGAGACCAGGCTCTGTGCTCGCGCTCAACTGGCCCTCGTTGTTCATTTGTTAGCTCTGGTAGCCAAGATGGTTGTGGAGTGTGAGTGAAATCCATCTCGTGCATGTGAAATGGTGAGGAAGGAGGCAGCAAAGCTGTGCAGAGCCCAGCTGCAGGGAGAGCTCATCCCTGCTCAGAGACAGCCGTGGGTTATGTGACAGCCCTGGCCACATCCCACAGGTTTAGACCTTCTTTGCACAGAGAGCCAGAGCTTCTGTGCTTCTGAAGCACTGGGAGCCAAATCACAGCCTGGTTTCTCCTTTGGGAAGGCACCCTGGGATGTGGGGATGTGGGGAGAAGGTGTGAGCTGCCCGAGCAGTCACAGGCACCTGGAGGGGAGCTGAGGAGAGGTGCCTGCTGCTGACCCTTGGCGAGAGGAGAGCAAGGCAGGTGGCAGGGAAATGCTGAGCACCATCCACTTCCCCAGGGTCAGCAGTGCTTTAAACAAAGCCGTGTTTAGACTCACACCCAAATGACCAAACTCCTGCCCCCCGCCCTTTCCTCTCTCCTCCGAAAAACAAATTCTCTCTCTCCTTGCACCTTGACTATTACAGGAACGTAGAGCAGGTTCAGTAGGCTGTGACAGCCCTGTCAAGTGAATAATCAGCCATGCCTGGTGCACCACAGTCTCTTTACAAAGATGCAAACATAAATCTTGTCAAACTTTCATATTCCAGTGAGTTTACCCTTCGTTACTATCGCAGCTGGGAGCACTTTGTATAAGTCGACGGTGCGGTTTTGTGTGATTTTACAGAATCCATGAGCTAAAGATGGAAGGACCTATTAAATCATGCCGTCTGTCTTCCTGCCAGTGCATGACAAAGATAATTCTGATTGCAGGCTGCACTTTTGCAGTCAAAGTAACTAAACTAAAAAATTAATCTCTGTCTTACCCCATCTAGAAGTGTTTGTGAAGCTCAGGGGACGCGTGAGATGCTGGGTGATAACTCCAGGTGCACTTACACAGGCAAGGGAACACAGACCATCTCTTCTTCTCTCTTCAGGGTCAAAACCAGGATAGAAAATGCTGTTACATATTATTTTATACTTGAAATATACTTTGCAAACCAAAGACCTGATTTTTCCCCTACTTCTTGTTGCAGTGCCTTGTGAAATTCAGGAATGTTTTTCACTTTTTGTGAAAGTAGAAGCGAAATTACAACTCTTCTTTTTTTTGAGCAGTTACCGGAAGGTTTCGTGTTTTCCCACAGATAAATTTTTGCTCTCTTTGGTCAGATAGGAGAGCTGATGTCTGTGCTGATGTTGAAAATGGAGATTGCTTCATGAAACATGGCTACAACCAGAGCTACCTAGCCCTTACATCTCCAAACCTAAAATCCTTCTCATGAGTTTGGGTTTGTTAATTGAGCATTTGTGCAGTCTGCATTGTCTGGGAGGGTGGAAGGAAGAGGTCAGTTGAAGTTAACCTTCAGCATTTGCTTTCTACAAACACTTGGACCTGGCATTGCCACCAAAAGGGGTGGAGAAAGTTGAATTTTAACCTGGCTTGTTCCCCGTGCTTGGCAGTGTAAGGAGATCTCCTGGGAGCAGGAACAAGGAGCTGATACGTGGGGTTACATAGCTGGGAGTGTTTGTGCAGCTGGGCTTTGGGGGATGCCCTCGCCTTGCCTTGTGCTTTGTCTCTCTGACTCTGCAGACAACCACATTTTCCAGAATTGCTGCTGAAATCAGACTTCCCACTGCTTTTTTCTTCCCTGAATGTCGGAGAGGATCTTTAGGAGTAACAGATTCCAGAACAAACTGTTGACCATATGATGATACACTTCAAACCCAGACTGCTTATTGGGAGCAGCCTTGCACTCAGCAGCCGTGGCTGGAAATGTTTCCCTTCAGTGGCAGCACCAGGGGCCGTGTCTGTGCCCGGTGCCAAGTCTGCCCTGCCTTGGGCTGTGCCCAGGAGCAGGGCAGGAACACAGACTCACTGGAAGTTCTTGGGTGTATTCAGGTCTCCCACCTCTGTCTACCTGGGGCCATCTCTTGTTGCACTGGAGGTTTTAAACTCCTAAGGACAGGGCTGTGTTTTTGTTAGTCCTGCAGCTCCTGGCCTGAGCCCTGGCTGCTCTCATGGCCCAAACCATGGATGGTGCTTGTCACAGCAGCCCACTGGCTGTTCCAGAGACAATGTCCCTGACTGAGAAGTTCTCCTTTGGTTTTGATTTAGAATCAATGTGAATGCATCAATTTTTCAGACACTGCCACCTGAAGGAACAGCAGGGTCAGTGCTGTCAGCTGTGGTTGCAGCTCCAGCTTTGGCATCCAGGACTGGGTCTGCTCTCTACTTCCAGAGTGCTTTGAGCTTAAATATGTGCCAGCTCCCCTGGAGGCAGGCCTGCTGGAGACTGGGAGCCTTTGAGATTCTGCAGAGCAATAAAAATCTAACTGTATTTCCTTGTCTAATAGCAGAGAGTCTTAAAGGACCTTCAGATCCATCCACATTCAGACCAGTGTAGTGTTGTCAGCCCTCTTTAGTTTGTTGCTTTAATAGACTTTAAAGTATGTCTCAATTGTTTCCTTATTGCTTGGAGATCCCTTGGAAAGGTCAGATTTTGGTGGAAGAAAGCACGTTCTTCCTGGATGTTAAACTCATCCCTGACAAACTTGAAAAGAAGAGTGGTTGGTTCTTTCTTTCTTTCTTTCTTTCTTTCTTTCTTTCTTTCTTTCTTTCTTTCTTCTTTACTCATGAAGACAAGCTGGGAGACTGAGTATGGTCTGGTGTGGTTCATAAGGGTAATGTGGACACTTCAATATTGCAGGTAAATCTGCAGAAGACATATTTGGAGAGTTGTTTACTCAAGCCAACACCTTTGCCTCTCGGGTGAATATTCTCGTGGAGAGAGTTGACCGCTTGCAAGTCAAAGTCACTCAGCTGGATCCCAAAGAGGAGGAAGGTAATGGAGTGGAGCACGGGAGCGTGGTGAAGGCTCTCCTTGAGTCAGCATGGTTGGTTCAGCACCGTAAACCCGGCGTGACCCTGCCATGAGTGTTGGAATGTGTTCTCTGGAGCTCAGGGGCTGTTTCCCTGCTCCCAGCAGAGCACTTGCACAGCCTTTTTGGCTTTGCTCTTCAGTGACTCTCCATGTGGGAGCTCGCTCTCCAGCATTGGGTGGCAGTGGAGGAGCTGCTGGAGCTTGGGCACAGGGGCTCCAAAGCCCAAAGGCCCCTCGAGGGAGAGCTGTGCTGGTGGAGCAGTGGATCTTGGCAGCACTTGGAGATTTGTTGGGTTTCCCAAGGGATCTGTGGGAAAAGGAACCTGACCTTAAGAACTGCAAAGCGTGCCAAGAACTCCAACTGAAATCAGATGTTCCCTGCTTGGGCTTCAGTGTCGTTGGCCTGGGTCAAGCTGTTCTTCACTTGTTCTCTTCCTTACAGTCTCCTTGCAGGGCATTAACACCAGGAAGGCCTTCAAAAGCTCCACCACTCAGGACCAGAAGCTCTTTGACAGAGATTCTCTCCCCGTGCCTGTCCTCGAAACCTACAGCAGCTGCAATGCCCCTCCACCTCTCAACATGCTCTCACCTTACAGGTAGGGCTGCAATACCTTCTTGTTCCCTTGCAGACAAGAACCTCTTCCTCCCAACCTCTGGGGAGGTCCTTTCCTGTCCTGTGCTGGGCTGAAGGAGCTGTTTCCACTGGGAAATTGAGTTGCTGAACAAATCCACCAGGAAATCTCCATCCTTTGGATTATGTGAAACTTCGCTTTTGAGGTCGACCAATGAACGTAGCTAGAAAACGATCTCTTTGGTTTTCTGCTGTCACTTTTGTGAGAGCCTTGGGGCCAGGCGTGGCTGGCACTGCAGCACCATGCTGGGTGTGCTGCAGATGAGGCATTTTTCTTGTGCTCCTCCGTAGCCCAGTGGCTCCTTTCCAAAGAGCTGCAGTGTGAGGTGCAGAGCACTCACCTGGACGTGGCTCTCACCCAGCTGGGTGCAGCAGGCTGCTGCTGCTGCTGCTGCTGCTGCTTCCTGTGGCCTCCAGTGCCTGCTCTGAGCCATCGGGTGGGGCCTACACTGGCTGTGTAGCCAGTCCTGAGCAGTCCCAGCCTGGTGCCATCTTGTAGGTAGTAGAAGTAAAGGGGGTCAGAATCCAGAGACTTATCCCACATCCATAAATATCTTCTGAGCAGGTAAAAAGTAATTACAGATAGCTGGAGGCAGCTGTCTCCTGCCAGACGCGGCTGCACTGCAAAGTGGGAGGAGAGGGAGTCTGTGTGCACTCACTCAGGAGCTTCAAGGACGCTGCTGCTCTGATTTAGGGTTCCTGAGCTGGAGGAGGAGGTTTTTTCACACCAGAATACAGCACAAACAAAAGGGAGTTGAAGTGAGAGACCTGCTGCTCTCCTGGTGATTGCTCAGAGCAGTTGAGCTCCTCAGGTGCTGAGCAGTGGAGGGTTTGTGTGAGGGCAGGAGGAATGGGATGTGGGAGAGCTGGGGTGGCTGGGAAGGGGTCTCTTCCTGCTCTGAAATGGGGGGGAAAGGCAAGAACAGCTCTTGTGACCATCTCACTGCACTTTTAAACTGTTTGACACAGTGCCTTGTGTTTCCTTCAGAGAAATGTGTGACTGATCCTGGCTTTTTCCTCTCCCTATTCCAGGGACGATGGCAAAGAGGCGCTTAAATTCTACACAGATCCTTCATATTTCTTCGACCTTTGGAGGGAGAAAATGCTTCAGGACACCAAGGATATAATGAAGGAAAAGCGGAAACATAGGGTGAGGAAGGGAAGAATAGGAAGTGGGAAGTGTTAATAAATTTTGGACTCCAAATTTGCTATCCAAAATTCAGGTTTGCACTTTTGGACTCTTATGGGATCAATTCAGGGAAGTTTTTATCTGATTTACCCACATCCTTGTTAATTAAAAAAGAGAACAAAGATACCTCTAATTGGTTTTTCCAAATGCCACTGTCTTTGGGCCTTAATGCTAAAATGCATCATAGCATAAGAGATGTAGTCTTAACATACTTAATTTAGCTTTTGAGCAACTGGAGTATTAAGCATGAAAACAGATTGTGATTCTTCAATGAAAAATAACAAAGAAGAGATTTAGGGTGTGTTAGAATTCTGAGTGAGCCATCTCAAGCCCAGCTCTCTGTGAGCAAGTGTCCATATTGCACCCCAGAACGCTGAATACCATGAAGGTGAGATTTGGGTGTCTGGACTCGGAGGCCAAAAGCTAAGTTGATGTGGGAACTGTGCTTTTATTTACTCTGCCCTCAAGCTGCTTATGCCAAGGGGGTCATGGTGGCATTGTCTGGGCTGCACTGGGCAACCTGATGTTGTCTGGCATTTTTTATGTTTTGTGTGCTCCAGCTTTCTTCTATGGAAGATCCTTGGAGAGTGCAGCAATCAGGAAAGTGAAATGAAAATCCTCTTTGAGAATGTGTGTTGTTGTAACTGCTCCAGGTCTGTCCTGTCCCTCTCTATTCCCAGTGAATTGAAAGCAAAGTAAAGCTTGTGTTTGATTCCTCCTCTCTTAGAAAGAGAAAAAGGAGAACCCGAACCGAGGAAATGTGAATCCACGGAAGATCAAAACCCGGAAAGAGGAGTGGGAGAAGCTGAAAATGGGACAGGAATTTGTGGAGTCAAAGGACAAGCATGGTCCTGCTGGGTAAGCAGCTGTGGCCTGGGTGATTGGGATGCAGTTCAGCCTGTGCTGCAGCTCCTCGGGATCCAGGGGTCGATACTGCCACTAATCAGATTCCCAAAGTAAATCCGCCTGCTGATGTAAGATTTGCCAGATAAATCAGGGAGCTGCACGCTTGGAGCAGGGTGGCAGGAATGGCTCTGGCTGCTCTCTGCCTGTGGGCACAGAGGCGTTGGGAGCTTTGGCTCTGCCCCAGGCAGTGCCCTTCCCTCTCACCCAGCCAGGGTGGCACTCGGTGCCATTGTGTGATGGCTTTGTTACATCTCACAAATGGCTCTTCACACCCGAAAGTTGAAGCGGGGGCTGTCCCCATCCAAGTATTTCAAGCTACAGATCTCTCTTTAGCACTTCTGGCTTGGGAATTCATTTAACTTTTGACACCAGCAAGGCTGGAAGCAGACCGAATTCCCCACAATGCTCTTCTTCCTTGCAGCTTCCTTTCATATAAGAAAAAAAATCTCTCTTTAAATCACACTCTCCAGCTAAAAATAAAACTTGCTTTTAGTTTAATAGGAGAACAGGTTTGGTTTCTAGCTGGGGAATCAAGCACACAACAGCACCATTTTCTTGCTCCTCTCTTTTCTCATGTGAGTGTTCTTGCATTTGGATTCACTTGGGGTCCAGAGCCCCCAAAAATAGGGTGGTTCCCCCTCCCCACAGTGAAATGAGTCCACTGAAAGCCTGAGAGTCTCTCTTCAGTACTATTCCAGCTTTGAATACTTGTTTTAATGGCATTGCAGTTTCCATTTTGATATTCTATTCTTGAGCTTCTTTTTCGGCATCTTTGAGTCCTGTTTTATGCCACTGATGATCCTCAGTGTAACTGCAAGTTCTTTAAGTCCAAGTCAGTCAAAACACTCTTAAGTGTTTTTGCAAAATGAAATGTTAAGAGAAATGCATTTATTCAGGTGTTTGCTTGTTTATTAAAATTCATACTCCTGCTGTTGTGGTGTGCAGCGGCCATAAACAGGGCAGCACCTGAGCAAATTTTAGCCAAAGAATTAAATAGAGCAAACACATACAGGTGTATGTGGTTCTCCATATAGGAGCCTGTGAGAAACAAAGGGTTTTTTTAATGATGTAGAATCATGGACTGATTTGGGTTGGAAAGGGCCTTAAAGCCCATCCAGTTCCACCCCTGCCATGGGCAGGGACACCTCCCGCTGTCCCAGGCTGCTCCAGGCCCCATCCAGCCTGTCCTTGGGCACTGCCAGGGATGCAGGGGCAGGCGCAGCTGCTCTGGGGAGCAGAGGAGCTGTAGACATTGCCCCGAGCTCTCTGAAGAAGCAGTGTGTGCTGCCTTTGCCAGGTACCCGTCGAGCGTGGTGTACCAGAACGGCAGCATCGGCTCCAGCGAGAGCGCGGCCGGGAGCTGCTACCCCGCCCCAGCTCCGGCTGACTCCATTGTGCCACCACCTCCCTCGTTCCCAGATGACAGCCTGCCTCCGCCCCCGCTGGAATTTAGGTAAGCCTACGGGATCCCTGCTGTCACCAGCGACTGGTAGGTGGTGTAAAAGGATGACATGAGGCAGGCTGAGATAGTTCAGCACAACTTCCTCATGGGTGTTGTACGGGAACCAGAATGCTCCTGTCTGCAAGGGAAGTGCAACTGCAGGCAGGGACAGAGGCTCTGCGTGAATCCCAGCCACTGTCACCATTCCCAGGCAGAAGGGGAGAAGCAGAGCACAGTGTTTATTCCACAGCAGTGTCCCAGTGAGTGCTTTGGCTCCGTTGCCAGAGTTTTCCAATGCAGGGACTTCTGTTCCTTATCTTCATTTGGACAACGCTCTCAGGCACATCCTGGAATTCTTGGGGGTGTCCTGTGCAGGGCCAGGGGTTGAACATGATGATCCTTGTGAGTCCCTTCCTAGTCAGGATATTCCATGACAGAGCTTTGCAAAGAACAGCTTCTTTAACCTCTTTTGCTCTGATCTGTGAGAAACACACGACGTGGGCACTGGAGATGGAGATGTATTTAAATTTCAAGGACTTGAGCACAGCAGCTGCCTCCTTCCCAGAGACTTGGGTGCAAGTTCAGGTCATTTACTTGGGACTGAATGAAATGGTGACTCCCAGGCACCTCCACAGATGAGAGTTATGGTCCAGCAGTGGCTCAAGATGCAAAGGGCAAAACAAAAGTGGACTTTTCCTTTTCTTTTAAAGACTTTAAAACAGAGTCAAGAGGAACAAGAGAAAGTCTGTCTGATAGACAGGGCAGCTTGGCTTCTCTCCATCTTATCCAAAGGCAGCAATGCTGCAGCAAAGGCTCCTGTGATGTGTCAGAGAGAGCCAGCACTGCACTCTGCAGCCTGTGCCTCTCGGGCAGAGCAGACACAAGCTCTCAGATGAAGTCTCACTGCCTTATGCAGTTGCTTAGATCTCTGCCCAACCCCACAGATCTCCCCTTTCTGGTTTTGTTTTGATGGTTGTTTTTAAGGAACCATAGGAGGTAGATTTGATCTCCGGGAGTCTGTTAAAAATGGTGATGTTTTTGTGGCAAATGTACCTTATTTTTCTGTCCCATGGAAGGAGGTGTCAGTTTGGGGCTTCCCTTGCACAGGATGTCACTCTGTCACACAGAGCCCCCACAAAGGGACATTCAGTCCCTCATGCATTGGTGCTTTCCAGAAGAGCACGTTGGGTTCCCGTGAGACAGAGGTGCTGCACTCCAGCTCTGAGCCTGGAGTCCAGAGAGGACATCCATCCCCAGCAGGTGTCACAGCGTGTGCCTGCCTGGCAGCCTGCCCTCCTGGTGCAGTTTATCCCAGCACACATCCCTGATCCCTGCCCGCCCTGTCACAGGCCTGACCTCAGCCCCGAGGGTGAAGGCAGCAGCTCTGGAGCCAGGAGGCTGCTCCGAGCTCGGGTGTGCCTGCCTGGCCTCTGATGGAGGTGAGGTGGCTCGTGTTCCTGTGGATGATGTGACTGTGTGATGGACGACAGCATTCCTGCCATCCCTAGAAGCTTTCCTTTTTCTGGAGGTGTGGGCCAAAAGAAACAGTTCGAGAGAACTAAAACCAAGGAGTGAGGTCTCATGGAAACATCAGTTAGAGCTGGAACTTGGATTTTTTTTTGTCTGGACTGCAGCAAACACACATGATTTGCATTAACACAGAGACTGTACAGTCTGATCTGGCCTCAGGGCTAATTCCCTGTCTCTCTCTCGTTCTGTTGCCACAGCTATCCTGTAGACAACCAAAGAGGTTCTGGTTCCGGAGGGCCCAAACGATCCAGCCTGGTTAGCCCGAGCCACCCACCACCAGCTCCTCCCATCGGATCCCCCTCGGCAGCCAGGCCGGGCTTTGCTCCCCCTCCAGCTCCTCCTCCTCCACCGCCACTGATGGAAAACGCCCCCCCTCCACCGCCCCCCATGGGCTTCCCCTCGCCGGGCACCCCCCCGCCGCCCTCGCCCCCTTCTTTCCCCCCTCACCCCGAGTTTGCTGCCCCTCCACCTCCCCCTCCTCCCCCAGCCCTTGATTATTCCAGTGTTGTCCCAGCTCCGGGCACTGGGGCTGCGCCGCCCCCGCCGCCGCCGCCGCCCCCTCCAGGCCCCCCGCCCCTGGTTTCCAGCGGCCTGGACGGGCCCCCACCCCCTCCTCCACCTTCTGACACCTCCACAGCCAAGCCCAAGTCGTCCTTGCCCGCGGTCAGCGATGCCAGGAGCGATCTGCTTTCGGCTATTCGGCAAGGTAAGGTGGTGTTTCCGTGCCAGCACTCTCCCTTGCCTCTGGAGAGCCTGGGGAGCTGTCTCTGGGGGCAGTGGCGCTGCCTCCTGCTCAGGGCTTGTCCCTTGTGCTCCCACCCTCACGAGCACCTTGCTGGGATTTTCGCTCGCCCCAGCGCTTGAGGAGGTGGCAGTGCCGGAGCTGGCGTGGCCCAGGTTTGTTGGGGAATGCTCAGCAGTGGGGTTACCCCGTTCAGGGGCACAGGAGGGATTTGCTTCCCATTCCAGCTCCCCACCAGCCCGTGCTGGCCGCCACCCTCAGCGTTATCCCAGCCCTGTGACAAAGGGAGATGCCAGCGTGATGCCCTCCCTCTTCCCCACAGGCTTCCAGCTGCGCAAGGTGGAGGAGCAGCGGGAGCAGGAGAAGCGGGACGTGGTGGGCAATGACGTGGCCACCATCCTGTCCCGCCGCATCGCCGTGGAGTACAGCGACTCCGAGGACGACTCCTCCGAGTTCGACGAGGACGAGTGGTCGGATTAGCCACGCTCCCAGCCCTCCTTCCCTTCTCTCCCGGGCTCGCTTCTTACAGAATCAGGTGGCCAAGCCTTGCACCGCATCCTTCTCATCCTGTAACCAAAGATGTGCCAAGGGTTTTTCAGACAACCAGCAGCATATCTCCCCTCTCCCTCCCCTGCAGCTTTGGCAGGGTTCCGTGCTCTGCCTTTCCAAAGGGCTCCTCACGGACACGAGGATGCGGCCTTGGGATTTAGCTGGAGGGGCTGTAACGGTTGCTTATTTAAAAGAGAGCTAAACCTCCAGATTTTTGATGCCACCAGGCAGAGCACATATAAACCCTCCATCCTGAGGGATTTTTAAAGTAAAGATGGATGATCCTGTTGTGGCCGTGTGGCCTTTTGGATGAAGGACATTTTCAGCTGGTTTTCTCAGTGCAACAGCAGACAGTTGATCTGATGGCTCTTCCTTGCCAGTGAATACTGGTAGTGCTGCAAGAAAATGGGCTTTAAATGTCAGTTCTCTGCTGCATCCCACTGTCAAATAATCAGGTTTTTGGCAATAGTGCACAATTCTTTCCCCCCTGACCCCTGAGTATTAATTCCATTTCACCCTGTGTGGGGTGTGCTTCCAGCTCCGAGGCTGCCCAGTGCCTTGGGTGCAGTGTAAGGAGGGACTTTTTTTTTTATTTTAGAAGCTGCCTTTACCTTCCTCAAATCTCCTGGACTGCTTTGCCAAGAGGAGACTTGCACAGAGGGACGTAAAACCAGGGCAGGATGCTTGCTCAGCTTCCCACTCTTGGGAGAGCAGAGCCACTGCCCCACTGAGACACATCTGTGGTCAGCTCTGAGCAGGGGCCAGACCTCGCTGATTTTCTCCAATCCATGCTGAGATTGTGTTCTAAAATTCCAAATCCAGTGCCTGGGACAGGGAGATGGGGTGGGGTTCTCTGGACACCAGGCACTGTGGTGGTCTTTGGCCCTGCCAGGGCAGTTTGAGAGGTGCTTTTTTTAGCGGGGTGACCGTACTTTAACACAGGGACTTCAATGCTGGTATTGCCTTTGCTTCTTCTCCCTTCCCCCTAGGGAGGGGAGCTTGTGTGCCTAAAAACATCATGTATGTGAACCGAGTTGCCCGTCAGTTACATCAGACCTAACCTACCCTCATTTTGTTGTTATAATTCATTAGTTAATTTTAAGAGAACGTTTTTTCTCCTCACTAACCCTGTGAATTAATTCCCAGGCTGCTCACTATAGATCCAGTACTGGCAGGGGAAAATGGGGAAATTGAACTAGCTGACCTCAGTTTTATTGCTGTTTTATGTTACCTTACATAGAATATGAGCATATCTTGGAAATCTAACCCAGATACCCCTGATGTGTATTTTAATTTGGACATGACTCAGTAAGGGTCATGCACAAAGTAATTCCAAAGCCTTTTTGAGGTTATGGGTCCAGCTGTTGTGGGATGTGTGTCCCACTAAGACCAACTCTCCCATCTTTCTGCCTTTCCTAAAGTATTTCACCAGCCTGTGCCTGTCTCTCTTCCCTGCCTCGCCTCCTTTAATGATGTTGCTGATACCTGGAACGCTGGGCCCTGCCCGAGGCTTGCTGGAAATCCTGCTTGGGAGTTGATGGATGGCTTCAGCTTGTGCCATGGAGTTCTTACTGATTCCTTGTGTGTGTGGGTGTGTTAATCCTGCCCGGGGCAGAGGTGCCCTGGAGGATGGGCTGTGGGTCAGGCTGGGACCCCAGAGATCCCTGGTGGCTGCACCACGGGGCTGTGCCTGCGGGCAGGATGCAGAGGGCGTGGGCAGCCAGGCATCCCCGTGGGCTGGCAACATCAGAGCAGCAGCAGTGCCAGGCTCTGGGAGAGGGAGCAAACCTCTGGAGTGCAGGTGCTGCAGTGGAGAGACTGGGAAATGCAAAGGGATGGCTGCTGTGAGCTGGGTGAGGGGATGAGAGAGGCAGTGCCATCCTCCTCTGGCTGCTCTGAGAGACAAGTTCTGGGAAAAACGGGCCCTGAGCTAAGCCAGGCTGACAGCAGGATCACACAGGGAGCCTGCAAATGCCAAACCTGGCTGAATTTGAGACTGCCTTAACGAGACTTAGCCCTTGTTGGGAAGGGAGAGCGAGTCCCTGTCGGCTGAAATCCAGAGAAGTGCCATATTCCTGATCGCCAGGGATCACCAGCCTGGGTGCTGGGGACACGTCCCTCCCTCTGCCTGTTGCACAAGGGTGCTGCTGTGTGGGCAGGCCGTGGCTGGAGGTGGCTCCTCCAGGCAGTGCCAGGGACGCTGGAAACACCCTGTGCTCCCAAATCCCAGGGCAGGACTCAGAACTGCAGGACCCTGAACAGAAGGGTTGTGGACAGGTAGGGGAGGTTGGTTGTTGGAGTGTTTTTTAAATCTCCTTTTATTTCTTTTTTTTTTTTTTTTTTTTTTTTTTCCTAAATCGTTGATTGCCAAGCAGGCTTAGCCTGTGTGGGGATCCCTGAGAAACAGCTGCTCTAGAGAGGGACCAGCTCTGAGTGTGGTTGCAAAATCGCAGAGCTTTGGGCCACCAAGTGAGCTCAGTGTTTTTGAAAGCAGCAGGGGAGGAGGAGAGGTGCCAGCAGCAACCTTTGCAAGACACAGCAGCTGTGCTGGGAGTGCAGGGCTGCCCCACCACCACCACCCCTGCCCTCGTGTCCTGGGCTCCTTCTCCTTCCTCCCTCCCGTGGGGCTGGGGCGAGCCCCAGGCATCTCCCCGAGCCCAGGGCAGGAGCTGCTGCTGCTCCCCCCGAGCTTCTGCTGCTCCCCCCAGGTTCTGCTCCCCCCAGGTTCCACTCCCCCCCAGGTTCTGGGGCGAGCCCCAGGCATCTCCCCGAGCCCAGGGCAGGAGCTGCTGCTGCTCCCCCCCAGGTTCTGCTGCTCCCCCCAGGTTCTGCTGCTCCCCCCAGGTTCTGCTGCTCCCCCCAGGTTCCGCTCCCCACCAGGTTCCGCTCCCCACCAGCCGCCTCCTGCTCTCCCTTGCAGCCATTTCGCCCATCCTGGGAGCCACTGGCTGCAAGTCCGGGCAGGCAGGGCCGCCTCCCCTCCCTCCCCTGCCCTGGTTAAACATTCTCCCGGTGTCCTCGCCCGCAGTGCTTGGCTGCTGCTGCCGGCAGCCGCTGTCTCCCCCGCGCCCCCCTTCCCCGGCTGGGCGAGCCCGGTCCCGGCTCCCCGGGCTCAGCCCGCAGCCGGTGACCTTCACTGCTTCTCCTCTCCTTATCCGGCCCGGCAAGGGGCTCCCGGAGCTCCCCCATGGCCGAGGGATCGTGCACAGTGTCATTTCAGGGAAAGGGTAGATTGGATTTTTTTTTTTTTTTGTTAATTTCAGAACATGAACTTATTTAACGTGTTTCTTTTGGAAGTCCCTGCCCTGGAGGGGCTCTGGGACAGAGCTGCCTGGCAGGGCAGATGCAGCTGCCCCGGGTCAGGTTTCACTGCTGTTGGATTTCGGGGGTGCTTTCTTCTCTTCCTTTTTAAACAAAGCCTTGAAGTGGAAGTGGATCCGATGTTTTTATTACTGTATTAACATTCATTTTAATTCACTTCAGAAACTAACCCATTTTTCTTCCTGATTAGAATGTCATAGAATTAGACATGCTGTAACCCCTCCTGAAGTGCCTTATTTTCCTACATGATATAAATATATTTATAAGAGTAATTATTCCACTTGTATCTTAGGGGTTTATTGCTGAGCAGGAGATGAGGTGGGAGAGGAGGGATGGGAAGTGCCCTGCACAGACCCTGCCAGGCTGGGGTCGGAAGGGCGAGGTTTGATGGATACTCTCAGGGTGCAGGGGGTTCCTCACTTCAGACCAAAGGAGTTTCAGCAGTGAAACTCTGCTTAGAAAGAAGAAAAAAAAAGACGGAAAAACCCCAAACATGTGAGCAAAATACCATAGATCTGTCAGGTTGTTTTTTTTACCCCTGCAAAATAAACACTGATGGCCGGGCTCTGCAGGGAGGCAGTGGCTGTGGGGGCTCAGAGCCCGCCCCTCGTCCATCCCTGCACATCCCAGTGCAGATCCCTGCCTCCTGTATTCCCGTGTAATGTCTGTGCTTCTTTCTCCCTGTCGGTTGCTGTATAAGCCACATTTCCTGCTGCTTTGTTTTGTTGTTTTTAATAATCAGCTCAGTAACCCCTGGATGAAGATCCCAACTGCAAATATTTTGTAATGTACATGTATAAAAAAAATAATAATTTTTTTGATTCTTTTTTAAAACTCGATAAAACCTTTCTATCCAGTCAGTGCCTGTGTGTGTTGCTGTGGGGGTGTGGGCCTGGCACGGGGGCTGCAGTGTGTGACTCGGAGTCACAGAAAGGTTTGGGCAGGAAGGGACCTTAAAGCTCATCTCATTCCATGGCAGGGACACCTCCCACTATCCCAGGGTGCTCCAAGCCCTGTCCAACCTTGGACGCTCCAGCCACAGCTTCTCTGGGCAAACCCAGCTCATTCCTGGGAGCTCTGGGGCCACCTGAGCTGGTCGTGCCTGTCCTTGTGTCCTTGGTGCCACCAGGGTGTCCCTTGGGAAGCCCAGGGTGTCCCTTGGGAAGCCCAGTGTCCCTGGAGGTGCCTCCTGCCCAGGTGGAGGCCGAGGGGAGGCTGGAGCACCCCGAGCTGTCTGGCAAACACCTTTGGCACAGACACCTTTTCCGTGCCCCGCTGGGCTGAGGGCTATTAGCAGTGGGAATTTGAGGGTCACAGCACCAAGGAAGCCCCATCCAGGAGCCTCCAGCACTCCCTGCCATAGGAAATGAGCCCGGGCTCCATCTTGCAGAGCAGAGTTGCTGCAGCTGGGCTGGGCAGGGGCTGCTGCAGCTTTTTGCCTCCATTTCGCAGCTCCAGGTCCCTCATGCAGTGACAGTGCCTGGCAGTGGTGGCTGCTGGCCCCGAGCTCAGGTGCCTCGTCTGGCCTGGCTCTGTGGGGCTCTGTTCTCTTGCTGGTTGGTGAAAAGCAACAAAAGGCTCTGTCCCTGCTGCTCCTCGGCCCTGCTTTTACCGCGGGCTTTGCTGTGCCAAATTCCCTTGGCTTTAGGAGACACCGGTGCCTCGCTCCGCAGCGCTGTGCCTTTCTTGGCTGACAATGGTCCCTGGCTGCAAAACCTCATTAGATTAATTGGCCTTGCCAGCTCCTGAACAAGCAAGGCCTTTAGTCATGCTGGGGCGCAGAGGGCAGGGGAAGGAGGGAGCTCTGGGGCTTCCACACTCCCTCGAGCTGCATGTCCCAGCTCTTGGCTCCAGCTGGAGCCTGGGAGGAGCAACTGGGGCTCCTGGCTGCCTTTGGATGGGTGTGGCTGTGGCCAGGTGCTGCCTCTGCTTTTCTGGGCTGCAGGACAACACGTAGCCTTGTGCTTTTGGAGTGACAGCCCTTGGAAGTCATCGTCAGAGTTTGGGGGCTGTTGGTGAGTTTTGTGCTGGTTTAACCCCTTAAACAGCAGGGAAATCGGTCCCAGGTCTGCCTTCCTGGGTAGCCCACAGGGCCCTGTGCCCCACCCTCCACGGAGCCGGGGAGCTCCTGGAGGCTGAGGTTCAGCTGGGTGCAGGGAGGAGAAGCCCAGCAGTGATTGATGGATTGTGTGAGCCCCAGCCCATCCTTTGCTGCCGCAGCTGGGGCAGCGTCTCCACAGCTCTGCAGCCTTGGCACAGCGACCTTGGCCCCGGCCTTTGATCCCTCTCCGTGCCCGTCTGTCTCTGCCACGACTCGGCACAGGATCACAGCTGGCCAGGCTGCGGCTTCACAGGAGCCCCCGTCTCCAAAGACCTCTTTAATTTTCTCCTTCAAGGTGGTGTTAGCAACACCCAGAAGATGCTGCCGGCTGCCTTGGACGAGTGGGCTGCGTGTCCTTTCCACCACTGACGTCAGCTTCTCTCCCTTAATTCCCCCTCTGGGACCGAAGCAAGTGCAGGCGCTGCCAGCTCGGATCAGCGTTAGCAGCCTGCTCTCCCAGTGTGTGGCAGCTCCGCCGTGCCAATGTCACCCCCGGCTCGCGCTGCTGTCCCTGCCCAAGCAGCCATGGCTGGTGGGAGCTCTCCCCTCTTCCAGCATCCCGGGAAGGGCCCCGTGCCAGCAGAAAGTCCCCGTTCCTCGCACGTAGGTGTGCTGAGATGGCAGCTCAGCCCCTCAGAAATGGCTGACTCCTCTCTCTCGCTCTCCTGCTGCCTGGTGGGTTTTTCTCTCCTCCTCCCTGCCTTTGCCGTTGCCTACGCGGGTGTGTGGGGAAGGCAATCGGCTCCCGTGCTGCGGATGGCTTTATCTGTAACTCTTCCATCTGCTCACAGCAGCTCACAAATAACCACGGGGTGCCAGAGGAATTATGTTATTTGGAGCTCAAGTTTCTGCAGTCTGGCAGGGCAGCAGCTCTGCGCCGGGCTCAGCCGCTCTGCAAAGGCCAGCGCCGGCATGGCCAGGGCTTAAGGCAGGAGCTGGGGATGTGGCCAGGGCTGAATTGCTCTCCCCATCCAGTTAGACAAAGCCCCAGCCCTGAGCCAGCATGGAAGCCCGGTCCTCTGGGAGCTTCCTGTGGAGAGCAGAGGGTCCTGCTGGCCCCGGGTCCCTGCACGGCCGTGGGCTCGTGGCACGAAGCCCTTGTGCATCGCAGGCGGCAACAGGGATGAAATGGGAGGCTGCTGACCCCCTCTCCCTGAACTTTGCTGTTTCCCACCAAGCACAGCCCTTTCAGACAGACTTCCCTCCCTGGGAAGCACCATCTGATGCCTCCAGAGCCATGGCTGTGGTGGTGGCTGGGGATGATGCTCGAGGCTGAGCTGTGCTGGGAAATGCCTCCCGCTGCCTCCGGCATTTGGTAAAACACTTACAGCAGGGCCGTGTTTTCTTCATTTCCTGCCTGCTCCCGCTTCCAAGGAAACAAAATCCCCCAAGCCAGGGCTGAGGTTTCTCATTTAGATGTAACCCAGGCCCATAACTGGAGCTGCCAGCCCTCCCCATGGCCCGGCGGTCCCAGGGTGGGGCAGGAGGAACATCAGGACTCGTGGTCCCATCGTGGGCACTCCAGTAAGGCATTGAGAGCAGAAACCCGTCCCTGGGATGGGCTGTGGGGAAGGGCAGCTCTCAGCTGTGCCCCAGGCAGGGCTCTTGGGGTTCAGGGTGCCAGGGCAGGTTTTGGGGTAGCAGCAGCCTCCTTCTCTCCTCCCATCTGCAAACCCCCGGTGGTTTTGGCACCAGGGCTGGAGCAGGGCCTCTGGGGCGGGTGGTTTGGGACCAGCCCTGGCTCTGTTGTGGGTGCTGCCAGCTCTCTCACATGCACGGTGGCCAAGGGCAAATGCTTGGAGCCGGATCTGGGCTCCACTGCTGCCAGCAGGACCAGGGAGAAGGGGAGCAAACCCCAACCTGCCCCCCCTGCCTGCACTGCAGCACGGGAGGAAAGAGCTGCCTGTGCTTGCAGCATCTGCTGGGAGCCTGGGAAGGGCTGGCCCTGCCAGATGTGCGAGCACAGCTGGGGTGAGGCCGTGCCCACGTCTCTTAGCTCATATTTTAACCCCAAGTTGGGCTGTTGGTTCCCCCTGAGCCTCTCCTGCACATCCCTGGCGTGGGGGTGGCTGCTCAGCACTCCGGCGCCTTCTCGGATGGATTTGACTTTTTTTTACAGCTTCACTTTCTACATCCTTCTCCACCAAAAAAGGGAGCAGGCTGGGCCCTGCTGCATCTCCCCGCCTGGTGCCGCCTGCTCCATCATCCCCAAAGGTCTGGAGCGCCGGGAATGTCCCTGGGAGAGCGACCAGCACTGGCAGCGCCGGGGTCGTGGCTTTCTCCAGCTCCACCCGAGCTTCCCTCACCCATCCCGGCAGCAGGAACAGGGCACAGGTAGGAGCCAAAGGGGGCATTTCCCACCTGGGAGGGGGCACACGGAGCTGGGCAGTGGCCACCGTGGTGGCAGCAGGGGACGGGGCTGTGAGGGTGACATTCTCGGGGTGCTGGTGACAAGGATTCACTGAGGGCTCAGCTCCCACAGCTCCCGAATTTCTGGTCCTGGGGAAACGCCTTGGCTTGAGCTGTGACGGCTCTTGATTCCACGCTGTCCCTGTGGGTCCCCGCTGCTCCTGAGCCCCCTGCACGCCCTCGGTCGGTCTGGGAAGCTCATCAGCCACGGCACAGCCCCTCCAGGAGCTGGGAGGGGGGGCTGCACCCTGTGCCCACCCCCGCGCCGGCCCTGGAGGGTGGGAGCCTGAGCAGGGGCTCCAGCAGACCCGCACGGTGCTGCCTCTGTGCCTTGCACACTCCGGTGTGTCACCCTGTCCCCAGGGGAAGTGACAGCGACCCCGGGGAGGGGGAGGAACTGGATGGGCTTGCACACCGTGGAGAAGCTCCCTCTGAAGACATCAGCAGGGGAGGCACGAGGGACAGAAAAGCTGTTTCAGCTGCCATGTGATGTTGACATAAGAATCACCAGGTAAAAACTGCCCCTGAATACAACAGAGCTGGGAATTAGGGGATTTTTCACTGCTGGGGGAGGGTGGCTCGGGAATTATCTCAGCTGAGCCCTGGGGTACAATGAACACCTCCAGCCTCTGGCTTAACCTCGCTGAGGACAAAGGGAGCCCGAAATTCGCCCTTCCCGGCGCCGAGCCCAGCCCTGGGAGAGCAGGAGATGATCTGTGGGTCCTTCAGCCCTCCCGGCCCCATCTGCCCCCAGCCCGTGCTAACACAGCCCCCTGCCCGCGCCCAGCGAGGGAAATCTTCATTTCCTTCGCAATAAACAGCCCCACAATAAAACCCCCCCTCGGGGCTGCCACCGCCTCCCCGAGCCCGAGGTGCCCCGGAGCCCCTGGGGCCGCTCCCAGCCCCGGGCACCGAGCCGGCCCCGCTGCTCGCCAGCCCCGGGCTCTGCCGCATCCCGGCCCCTGTGACAGACCTGCTGCTCCCTGGCCGGGGTGGGCAGTGGCACGGGGGGCTCTGGGGGCGCACAGGCTGGCACCGGAGGGGCTGAGCTGCCCTAATTAGCTGTGGCATCATTAACCCCGCCTTCCCTGCCACCGGCGGGCAGCTGGGTGAGCGGTGACTTTGGGAGCATGGGAGTCTCAGTGTGGGGGTGCCGGGCACGGTCCCCCTGTGCCCCCCTCACCAGGAGAGGGGTGGGGGGCAGAGATGGAGGCAGAGGTGCCGTTCCTGCTGGGTGGAGGGCCCAGGGTACGACCCCTCGGTGGGAAGGAGTCCCTGGGCGGGGGGACGTGTCAGATGTCACCAGCAGAGCTGGATGCAGCCCCTGTGAGGATGAGGATGGTCAGGGGCCTCAGCGCTGCTCCCCCCCGGGCCAGCTCCTGCTAACAGGATGTGATGGGTGGGGGCAGCGCTGTCACTCGGCATCTCTTACCCGGGAGCGGGGAAACGGAGCAGGGGGGTGGCCCTGGTGGGGCTCGGGAGCCTCAGCCTTGTCCGCCCCCTCGGGAAACGCCATCCCACCCCCTCCCCAGCATCAAACAGCTGCAACTCGTACCACAAATTAATTTATTCCCCTCCCAGAGTTGTAAACAAGAAGCAGCTCCCCCACCCTGACGCACCGAGAGGCCCCATCCAGAGGGGTCCCTATCCCGAGGGATCCCCATCCCCAGGGCTCCCCTGCACCAGGGGCCCTTCACATCCATTCCCCGGCCCAGAAATGTGCAAATCCAACCCCAGTGCAAAGAAAGGCTTTGGCAGGGGGAGCCCCGGGTGCCGCGGGTGGGGGTTGGCAGCTCACAGAGGACCCCAGAACTTGTGGGTTTGGGGGTGCAGAGCCTCCGGCAGCCCCCCCTCCTGAAGGCAGCGAGCACTAGAGGGCAGCAGGGCCCAGAGCTGGGCGGCGGGAGGGAGGCATGGAAATCAAATTAAATAATAATTCAAATACCAATAAATAAATAAAGGGATGGACGGATGGGAGAAGGGGGCGGGGGGAGGGGGGGGTTGAGTCCCTCCTCCTTTGGCAACGAGTCTCTCCTCCCCTTCCCCAAATGTATAAAATATATTTTCACTGTCTGAGGTAAATAACAAGGTAGTAAAAAAAAAAAACGAGAGGGGGATGAACCTTCCTGGTGTTCCCCCACCCTTAAAAAACTAAAGCACCATAAATAGTTTTAAGGAAAATATGAGGATCTGCCCCTTCTCTCTCACTCATAAATATAGATAATATTATGGATAAAAAATACGTTTTTCTCTCTGTTCAAAAAGTGGAAAAATAGAGGAAAAGAAAGGGTTGTGCCCAGAAAGGATGAGGCTAGGAAGAGCTGCTTGGTTCCAAGAACTCCTGCAATGTGCCTCTGGGAATGAGACGGGAGAACCAAAGCGCATCCCCGGCTCCAGCGGTGAGTGAGAGGCGCGGGGGGGGCACCTCAGACGTCACTGGGGGAGCGGGAGCGGAAAGGCGGCGCGGAGGAGCAGCAGCCGCAGCACACGGCCCACAGCACCTTCTGGATCTCCTGGTTCCGGAAGGCGTAGATGACGGGGTTCAGCAGGGAGCTGCAGGTGGCGGGGAGCAGCGTGATGTGGGTGTAGAGCGCCGGGGAGCCGGCGTCGCCCAGCAGCCCGTAGACGGCGAAGGGCAGCCAGCAGGACGCGAAGGTGCCCAGGATGACGGCCAGGGTGGCGATGGCCTTGCGGGCCGTCACGTCGTGGGAGCTGGCCAGGAAATGCCTCTGCACGGCGATCTGCTGCGCGTGCCGGCACACGATGCGACAGATGTGCACGTACAGCTGGAGCATCACCGCGAACACCGCCAGGAACGACACGGACAGGATGCTCAGGTGGCTCTTGGTGAGCGGGCGGACGATGCTGCAGGCCGAGGGCTCCTGCAGGCAGTTCCAGCCCAGCACGGGCAGCAGCCCGCAGCAGATGGAGGCTCCCCAGGTGAGGAGCAGCATGATGTAAGTCCTGGTGACCGTCCTGTCCGAGTAGTAGGTCAGGGCGTTGTAGAGGGACAGGTAGCGGTCGATGGTGATGGTCAGCAGGCTGCTGACGCTGGCCGTGAAGGAGGTGACCAGGAGCCCCACGGTGAGCAGGCTCACCGCCTCCGACGGGATGAGGTACACGAAGGCAAAGTGCAGGATCAGCCCCAGACCCGCCAGCAGGTCGGCTGTGGCCAGGCTGCCGATCAGGAGGAACATGGGGGCGCGGAAGGCCGGGCTGTAGAAGATGACCACCACCACGATGGCGTTCTCACACGAGATGATGGTGCCCGAGGCGCAGAGCACAACGTCCCACGGGTTCAGCGCGAGGGGCTGCACCACGGACTCCAGATCCAAGGAGCTGCCACTGCCATTCCTGGCTGAGAACCAGCCCTGCTGGCCCTCGCTGGAGTTGGGGGGCCCTTTCTCCATCATGATGGCGGGGGGTGACCTGCAAGGGCAGCCCCTCAGCACCGGCTGTCCCCGAGCTGCCCCCGTGCCACCCAGACGGGACAGGACTGCCTCTCCCCAAAAGTTGTCTTCAGCAGGGTGGGCAGGGCAGTGTAGGTTGAGGGTGTGCTCGCTGTTTGCTCCGAGGGGATTTTTCTGGATGAGATGGTTTAATTTTAAAATAAATAGGTGAATAAAGGGGAGAGAACACACAGACACACTCACACACACCACCCCTGCTCCTGCCTGCCCGAGCTGCTGGGGATTGGGCACTGCCTGATTTCGATGGATAAATCCAGGGGAGCAGCACTGGCAGTGGAAAACACCCTCCCCCGCGAGGAGTTCGGGGCCAAAGTGAGGGGATCCCAAGGAGCAGGTAAAGGGGGTGACCCTGCCCCCCCCGATCAGCACCCCAGCGGGAACAGACCCCTCCCACCCCCACCGTGGCATCCCTTCTTACCTTGGGGCTCTACCTCTCCCTGGACGGGCTTTTGGGGGGCACGGCCGCCCCTCGCCACCCTCCCCACAGCTCCAGAGCGGGCTCCCCCCGGTGCCGGTGCCCCCCCGGTGCTCCCCCCGGTGCTCCCCCCGGTGCCGGGCACTCACCTGCCGGGATGCCGGGCCCGGGCTGCGCTGCGCTGCCCGGCTGGGGCGCCGCTGCCATGGGCGCCGCCGAGTTATAGCGGCCGAGCGGGGCCGGGGGGGTCCGGGGGGCTCGGGGGTGACTCACGGCCCCCCCAGCCCCGCTCGCCCCGCTGTGACGTCAATGGCGCGCCGGAGCCAATCAGCGCCCGCGCGGGCAGCGCGGGAGCGCGCGCGCCGCATCGTAATCGCAGCTCATTCATAAAAAAAACAGCCCCCCCCCCAAACACCCCCCCAAAAAACTCCCACGCCCCCCATGGGACCCCCCCTAATCCCGGGGGGGGGGCGGCTCGCCCTTCTCCCCGCCATGCGGGGGTCTGGGGGCTCCTCTGGGGAGGGGGCGGCCCGGTTTGGGGGGATGTGGGGTGGTCGAGGATGGGTCCCGTCCTGCCCCCTCCCCTTCCCACACCGGGAAATGAGTCACGGCAAGGATGCGGGAATGCCAGGCCGGGGATGCGGGAAGGGCTGCGGGGAGCCCTCGGGGGGAGAGGAGGAGGAGGAGAGGAGGAAGGAGCGGGTGCCCTCCTCGGCACTCTTCCCCCGCACCGGTTCCTCGAAGCTCACGCGTTTGGCCGGCGATCGGTCCCCGCCGAGGGGAGAGGGGGTCCCGGAGAGCCCGAGCTGGGCTGCGGCTCTGCTGGGACCCGCGGGAGCCGGGACACCCCGGTGGTCCCGGCCACGGCTGCGGCCCGGGCAGGGAAGGGGTGGGGGCTTCGGTTCGGTTCGGTTCGGTTCGGCCCAGCCGCGGCCCCGGGAAGTGTCCAAGTGTCCCGGGCAGGGCACTGGAGCGAGCGGTGAGCGGTGCGGGGTGTGCAGTGTGTACAGCGTGTAGTGTGTGCACACTGTTACAGGTGTGTACAGGTGTGTACAGGTGTGTGTAGGTGTGTACAGGTGTGTGCACACTGTTACAGGTGTGTACAGGTGTGTACAGGTGTGTGTAGGTGTGTACAGGTGTGTGCACACTGTTACAGGTGTGTACAGGTGTGCACAGGGGGTGCAGTCCGTGCAGCCCCGGGTTTCCCAGGGCCCATGGGGGGGTGTGTGTGGGCGGGGGAGGTGACGCCCCCCGGGAGAGCCCCCACACCCCCGGCCGGGCCTGCCGGGGCGGGGCGGGGCGGGACGAGGCGGGGCCGCCCCCCCTCCCCCGCCGCCGCCGGGGCCGCCTCCCGCGGGCGCGCATCTGCTCCGCTCCGCTCTCCCGGGAGATCCGCGGACACACCTCCCGCTGGGACCGTGCCGAGCCGGGCCGAGCCGAGCCGGGCCGGGCCATGGCCCCGCCGGGCCCCGGGGCGCTGCGCTGCGCGCTCCTGTGCGCGCTCCTGTGCGCGCAGGGACCCGCTCCCACCCGCGCAGGTACGGCCGGGGGCGCGGGAGGGGAACTCGGGCCTTCGCAGCTTTGGGGCAGCTCAACTTTTTTGTGGGGGTTGGTTTCTTCCCAGGGGTTCCTCTCGCCTTTGATTTGGGGGAGAGGGACCCCTGGTCCCGCTCCCAGCCGTGCTCCGGGGGGCTGCGACCCCCGAGGGCCGGGGGGTGCTGGGCTGCAGCGGGATAAGCAGGGTCCAGGCTGCTCCCCAAAGAGTGTGGGGATCTCGTGGGGGAGAGGGCAACGGAGCCGTCACCTCCTTCCCGAGGTGCTGCAACTCCGGGCATTAATTATGCAAACCCCAGGCTTCCTCCCGCTCCCCCTCTCCCATCCCCCGGGGCTGCAGGGACACATTTCCACCCTGACTTATCCCGGCGGGACCCACGCATGTTCCCGGAGCCGCCGTGGGCGGGGGGCTGCCCTCAGCCGGCCCCGCTGCCCCCCTCCATCCCCTCCCTCCCCACACCTGCCGGCAGCAGCGGGAGTTGACAACGCTGGGCTCAAACGCCTGTTCCTGCGCCTGCCGCGATAAAAATAAATTATAAACCTGCCTAAACCCTTGCGAACAAAGTCCTACTTTCCCATTGGCTCCCGGCAGGTCTCCAAATGCTGGGAGGGGGGGCCAGCGGCGTGCCCACCTCCCCCTCCCGTAGCCATGGCAATGGGGCCGCAGCATCTCCGCTTCCTGCCTTGGCCACCAGTTGCCCCCTTGGCTTTTCCTGGGAAAGAAGGAAAGGGGCTTTTCTGTCAGCGCGTGGTTTTTAGGGAACCCTAAAAGCTGGGGGGCTCCAGCTGCTCCCTCCAAAGGGGAGCGGTGTGGTGGGAAGCGCTGCCGGCAGGGATGCCTTGTGCCCTGGGGAGCCAGCCCGGGGGAATGCCAGCCCGGGGGAATGCCAGCCCGGGAGAATGCCAGCCCGCAAGAGCCTCCTGCGAGCCCTGCGAGGAAGGTTTGCCCCTGAGAGGCTGGAAACGCATCCAGCGTGGGGAATGGCTCCCGGCTCTTTCCCGGGACGATGCAAACGCGGGCGTGGGACGCAGCGAGGTGCGGGCAGGGCCGGGCCGCAGCTCCTCGCAGCCTCCCTCGCCGACAGCCAGCGCTGTAAATTAATGATGAGCGTGAGTGGGGGAAGAGCAGCTCCGCAAACACCAGAGACACTCACGGGCTCCCCGCGCCGCTGGGAGCGGGGGTCCCGCGGGGTGGCCCGGGCGGGCAGGGGGGCGACACCGCTCAGGTAACCCCGACCAGGCTGGTGCTGCCGCCTGACCTCATTTTAAACTCCACCAAAAACCCCCAGATGCCAGCGCTGGAGCAGAGGGATGTTTCCTGCGCTGTGGGTGCTGGGTGAGCCCTGGGTGGGTCCTGGGGGCTGCGGGGTCCCCTCGCTGGGGAGCTGATGATGAACACTCCATGGGGACGGGGCTGCTGGGTTCGGTGCTGTGGGATGTGCCTTTATTCCTCCTGCTGCAGCACCGGAATTCTCCCTCCATGCAGCTGGGCACTGCCCGAGGGACGGGCGCTGGCCCTGCCCTCATCGTTTTTCCCTTTGGCAGGCGAGTGTGGCAAGCTGAGATCCTGCGAGATGTGCACGGGCAGGACCCATCCCCACAACGGCACCGAGTGCGTCTGGGTGGGCTGCGGGACCCCCGAGGAGCCAGGTGAGGGGCTGGGCTGGGTGGGCACAGGGAGGGGCTCTCATCAGCCCCCCCGGCCGCTGGCACTGGCCCGGGGCCGTGCCCGGCACTCAGCACCTTTTGGATGCCCAGTCCCAGCTGTTTTCACTGAGCTGGTCAAGGTGCAACTCAGCTCTTTGGGGCTCTGCCCTGCGGGGGGACAGCTCTGAGCCCCCAGCCCCTCAGATGGATGCCCACCCTCATCCCAAACCCTCAGGGCAGCCCTGGGCCCGAGCACCGCCGGCTGCCCTGGTTTGGGATCCTGGGGACAGCTCTGTCCCCCCTAAAGCTCTGTTCCCCCTAAAGCTCTGTTCCCCCTAAAGCTCTGTCCCCCTAAAGCTCTGTCCCCCTAAAGCTCTGCTCCCCACTAAAGCTCAGCTCCCTGTTCCCGCAGACCCCGGGAGCTGTGTGCGGGCAGGCTCAGCAGTGCGGGAGAGCTGCGCACTCTACAACAGCAGCGCCCTGTGCCGAGGTAACCCCAGAGCCCCCTAAACCCCCCCAGAGCCCCCCAGAACCTCTGGCCTGCGGGACAGGGGTGCTGCTGCGGGTGCCAGGGCCATGGGGATGGAATCCCATCACCGGGATGGGGACATGGCTGCAGGGCTGTGTGGCAATGTCCCCTGTCACCCCTTTTACCCCTTCCCTCTGTCCCTGCCCTCTCCAGCACTGAAGTCCCACACGGAGGAGCCTCCGCGATCCCATAGCAAGGAGCCAGTGACACACCCTACAAGTGAGTGGGTCTGGGGAGGGGTGGGAGGCAGTGGGATGGGGGGCAGTGGGATGGGGGGCCTGGGTGCCCCAGGGATCAGTGTTGTCCCATCAAGGCCCTTCCCTCGCTGTTTCGCCTCCCTTTGGGAGGGTGAGCGGAGCTGCCCTCAGGGCTGCACCGATGGCTGTCCCAGGTCCCCGCTCTGTCCCTGTCCCCTCTCTCTGCACTGGGCACTGCAGTGACTCATGACACGCATCCCCCCTCCAAGAACAGGCCCTGATTCCATCCTTGCTGGGAATTGCCACCTCCAGCCTGGCTGGGACTGAAGGAGCCTCTTCCAGTAAGAGGGAACTGGAGAGCGCTGGGATAATTGCAGCAGGTAACCGGAGCCTGGAGCCTGCTGAATTATTGATCCCACTGGGATCCTCTTGCCACTGGCTCCTTTCCTGCAGCTCCAGCTGCTCTGGCATGGGAAGGGGCTGAGCCCATCCCAACATCCATTGGTGGGGACATCCCAGCCCCACACTGGGAGCTCCCATTCCTCCCTGTGCAGCCACTGACCTTCACGGACCCCAAATCCCCTCTTTGCTGGACACATCTGTACTCAGGGATGCCAGCAGCACCCATAACTCCCCAAACCTCCCCTTTTCCCTGGCACCAGGGACCACCACCACCAGTGCCCCGCTGACGGGCAGCCCCGAGTTTCACCCGCCCGGCTTCGACACGGCGAGTTTCATCGGGGGCATCGTGCTGGTGCTCTGCGTCCAGGCCGTCGCCTTCTTCATCATCAAGTTCATCAAGTCAAAGGACAGCACCTACCAAACGCTGTAAGGGCAGCATCTGGGCTGGAGGGGGGACCTGGGACAAGCCCACCCTTAGAGCCAGCACTGGGGTCACTCTGGGGTCCTGCCCTGTCCTGTCCCATCCTGTCCTGTCTCTCTGCTGTGCTGTGTCCCATGTCCCGTCTTTGTGCCAGCCTGTCCTCACCCCGCAGGGGATGATTTGGGGGTGGAGGGGTGGGTTCATGTCCCCCTGCCTGTCCCCTTGCCCCTGTCTGTCTGTCCTGCTCCTCTGTCTGTCGGTGTCTGGCTGGATCCTGGCTCAGAGCCCTGCAGGGAGGGGGGCCCCAGGTCTGTGAGTCAGGGGGGGCTCTGTGCTCTGCCCGGCCCGGGGGTCGCTGTGTCTGACGTGGGGGGCTCTGCCCCCTCTCTCTTTCCTTCCACGCTGCCAGAGAGGACAACCAGTAGGTTCTGGGAGCAGTGGGGAGGGGGTGTCCCCCCGCACCCCCAGAGCTTCACCCTTCCCTGGCACCTCCCCGGGCACAGGGGGGGATCATGGACCCTCCCCCCTGGTTTGCATGGGGGGTGTTTGGGTGTTTCCAGCTGGTTTTGCTGTTTCCTGTGAGCTGTTAGGGATGGAAAGGAAGGGGGTCCCCCCCAGGAGCCCCTCAGGGGTGCAGCCCCTACAGGCCCTCTTCCACCTGGGTGAGGTGTCCCCAGTGTCCCCAGTGTCCCCAGTGTCCCCAGTGTCCCCAGAGTCCCCAGCCTCACCACAGCGGGGTGCAGCCCCCTCACCCTGAGCCTCCTTCACAGCATGGCAACTGCAGGGCTCCCAGTTTGGCCCCAGTTTGACCCAGTTTGGCCCCAGCAGCCCCCTGCCCACTCTCGGCACCCCCTGCCCCACTGCCTCCCCACAGCCTTGAGGGGTCCCCTCTTCCCCTGGGGGACCCTTGGGTGCTTTTCCCTCTAGCAGAGCACCCAACCATGCCCTGATACCCCCGTGCCCTCAGGGGAGCCAGGGCCTTGCTGTGTGCTTTTGCTGTGCCTCTGTGTGCTCTGGGGGGGCTGGGGGGTCCCCTCTCCCCCACCCCCTTTCTGTGTGCTGTTTTGGGGAGGGGGCTGCGTGTCGTGTGCTGTGGGGTGACACTTGTAGCTCGGGCTGCCCCCATTAAACTCTGTGAGGTGGTGTCCGTGTTGTGTCCGGGGCTGCTGTGGCTGGGGGGGTGCAGGGGGGTCCAGCCCTCCCCCATGGGGTGGGTGGGCACGGGACACTCCCTGGGGGGCTGTGAGGGGCTGGGACCCCCGGGGTGAAGCCCCCCAGGACCTTTCCTGCCATGTCTCCTCTCTGTCCCATGCACCAGGATCTGATCCCCGTGCCCCCAGGCTGGGGGGGTCGCTGTCCCTGCCCAGGTGAAGAGGCCACTGCTGGTGTCCCCCTGCCCACTGCTGGACTGTCCCCCCTGCCACGGCCCCTCACACCACGACTATGCAAAGCTGGGGACACCAGGGTGGGACCCCAGGGACGTCTCCCAGGCCTGCCCCCAGCCCTGTCCCTGGGGATGCTCCGGGGTTTTGTACCCTCTGGCTGCCCCAGGGGATGCAGGTGGGCAGGGGGCCCATCCAGCCCTAAATTCCACCTTCAGCCCCCTCCCACCCTGGGATCACAGCACACGTGGCCATGGGTGGCAGTGGGGGACCCTTTGCTGGCCCCAGCCCCACACCAGGGACACAACAGAGGGGACAGAAACCAATAAAGGATTTTCCTGTAATTTCTGGTGTCCGTGTCATTGTCACCCTCCTCCTGTCACCCCAGAGCCCCAGCAGTGGGAGCTGTCCCTGGAGATTCTGGTTGCAAAAAAAAACCTTTTGGGATTTGGCTGTTCCTGCCCACAGAATGTTTTGGTACTGGTGGGTGGCCCCAGGTGACTCCAGTCCTCCCAGTGACCAGGGAACAGGAACCAGTGCGGGTATCCCAGTAAGAAAAGGGACATCCTGGCAGAGCAGTGGGCCCCCACCCCACCCAGGGCTGTGACAAGGCCACCGGAGCCCCGGGGCTGGCAGGACGGTGACGGGGGCACAGCCCTCACTGGGAGCAGTGGGACACAGCAGCTCCAGCCCCACAGCTGAGGGAGAAGCCAGGGTACGGTGCCAGTGCAATGAACAGCTCACAGATGTGCCCACAGCAATAAAAAGCTGCCAGATGTGCCCTCTGGTGCCACTTCATTGGTGCTGGAAGGGGAGGGCACAGACCCCAGCCCGCACAGGCTGCCCCAGGGGCTCGGGGCTATGCCCGGGGCACGAGGTTGGTCCGCAGGGGCAGCAGCGCCTCCACCCAGCGCCCGGGCTGCTGCAGCAGCTGCTTCCACACCCCCTGCTCCTCCGCCGTGGAGTCCATCCAGCCCACGGGCAGCCCGTAGCTGCTCCCTGCGGAGACACCAGCCTGTCACCCCGAGCTGCGACACGGGGGACACCCCGAGGGGCTGGGGGGGCTGGGGGGGCTGGGGGTCCCCTCACCCGTGCCCAGGCTGAGCCGGATCCCGCCCAGCTGGCGCTTGGAAAACGCCTCGTGGTGCCAGAGGGTGAACTCGGCGCACGCCTCGCCCAGGTCCTTGGCCTGGAAGCCGTCGTACACCATGGTGTGGTTGAAGAGGGGGTTCAGGCTCCGCTTCACCACCCGCGTCTTCTGCCGGCTGGCCTTGCTGTCATCGGGCAGGACGTAGCTGGGGGGGCACGGGGGTGAGGGGGGGGCACCCCAGCTGCCCCTCTGGGTGCCCCCAGGGTGCCACCCCCGCCCTTACCACTGCACGAAGGCGTCCACGGTGCCGCTCTGCAGCGGGATCAGGCTCTGGGCGTCCTTCACCCAGATGTGCAGCTCGCCCGTGGGTGGCATCCCCGCTCCTGTGGGCCAGAAGGGTCAGGGGCCCCTTGCCATGCCAGCCCCCTCCCCCCGGCTGCCCACGGGCCCCTCTCACCTTCCGAGCCCGCAGGGATGAATTTCAGCGCCAGGTTGAGGCTGCCCCGGCTGGCGAGGCCGTCCGAGGGGATGGGGGTCTGGGGAGGACAGGGGGGTTACGGGGGCACTGCGCCAACAGCGGGGCTGGGGGGCAAGGAGCTCACCCGTGGCTGCAGATTGAACCACTCGGGGCGTGTGTTGGCCCAGTCCCAAGTGCCCAGGGCCACCTCCACCTCCCCCAGGAAGAGGTTCCTGCCCAGGCTGTCGTGGTGCCACACGGAGAGGTTCAGGGTCCGGCCCTGCAGGTCCCTCTTCTCCAGCTTGTACTGGTGGGGAAGGGACACAGGGTGAGATTATCCAGCCCCACCCACCCAATCTGAACCACGGGGACCCTCCAAACCCACCCCAAAGGAGGGTCAGAAACCTTGAGGGTCTCGTTGAAGACGGGATCCAAGCTCCTCTTCCTCACCGCGGTTTTGCGCTTGCTGCGGTTGGACTTGTCGGGCAGCAGGTACGTCTTGATGTACCTGGGGCCAAAAAACGAGCTGGGGGCGGTGGGGGGCACAGCGGGCATCCCCTGGGCAGTGCCACGGGGCTGGGACACTCACGGGTCCGAGCGCTGCTTCTTGGCCTCGGCCAGCTCGCGGCAGCGCAGGACGTGAACCTGCAGCTCCTTCCTGGCCGGGTGGTAGCGCAGGGAGAACTGGACACAGCCCCGCACGGGCACCGCGCCCAGCTCCCCCTCGCTGTACAGGCTCATCAGGCTCCCACTCAGCTGCAGGGGGTGACAGTCAGGGGGGCTGGGGGAGCCCCCACCACCCCACCCCAGTCCCAGTCCCAGTCCCAGTCCCAGTCCCAGTCCCGTACCGTGGAGGAGCTGAGGCTGGACACGGAGGAGCTGGTGCTCAGCAGGCTCGGGGGGGGGAGGCCGTTCTGTGGGGACAGTGGGTCTGGGGGGGTCTGATCCGTCTGGGGGGTCTCCGGTCTCTGGAAATGCAAAGCGGGGTCAGCACCTCCCCCTTGGGCCCCCAGACCCACTGAGGACACCCAGCTCCCAGCAGTGGGAGTTTGGGTGCAGCCCATGCTGTGCTGGCTTTGTTCAGTCCCCCCCGACCCCTAAAAACCCAAATAGCTGCCCCCAAAACTCCTTACATCGCTGTCCAGCTGCCCCAATCCCATAGAGCATCCCCCAAATCCATACAGCCCTCCCAACCCCCAGAGCAGCCCCAGTCCCCATCCCACCTGCCCAGCACTGTGGCTGCTCTGTGCCGAATCTGGCTCCTCCTCATCCTCCTCACCCTCCTCCCTGCTGGATGAGCCAAGGTCGTTCCCCGATCCCGTGTCACCTGTAGGGACAAGGAGGGTGTGGGGGCCCCAGCCCAGCAGCTCTGGGCAGGAGGGGGGATCCCTTTTTTGGCCAGAGGAGGCTGGTGAGCAGTGCTGGGGGCTGCAGCCCCCCAAACTCCCACGGCACCCCCCCATGCCGGGTACCTGGCTGGGCCGGGCTGTCCTGCTCCCTCGCCGGGATGTCACCCTGCAGCAGGGGCTGTGACACCGGGGTCCCCTCCACGGCCAGGGCAGGGGGGCTGGGCTGGGAGGGAAAGGTGAGAATGGGACCCCAGCACCCCCTCCTCCCCCAGCTGCCCCCCACAGCCCAGCCCTCTGTGCTCCTGGGGACAGGGTGACCCATGGGACACCCCATGGGGCATTTTGTGGGACGTTGACCATCACTGCCCAGGGTTCAAGATCACCCCAAGCTCAGCACAACCTTGGGATGGCACTGGGGGTGCTGCAGGGTGAACCCCACCCATCACCGGCTGTCAGGTACTGCTCAACCCCACACCAGGCACCCACCTGGGGCTCAGGGGCCTCCTGCACCTCCTCTGTGGGGGAACTGTGGGGAGAGAGCACCGTTAGTTTGGTCTGGATGGAGGACAGATGGACACTGGGATGGAGGACAGATGGACACCAGGATGTGGGACACAGTGGTGGGCAGATGGTGGAACACCAAACCCTGGGACGACGGGCAGACACCAGCCCTGACTGCACCATCCCCTCCCCCAGGGGTCCTGCTCCCCCTCCAGCCCCCTTGTGCCCCCCCACTGGGTACCAGGGAGATGCCACCAGCCCCGGGGCACCCGTGGGGTGACCCCTTCCTCCCTTCCTCCCTTCCTCCCTTCCTCCCTTCCTCCCTTCCCTCACCTCTCCTCCGTCTCTCCCGCACCATCCTCATCCTCCCTCTCCTCTGCCACGGGCTCATCGATGGCCTCCAGCTCGCCCAGACTGGAGCCACGTTCCAGCTCCCCCGTTCCTGGGGACATCGGGGAGCTCAGCGGGCCCGTCCCCCATTCCCTGTTCCCCCCATTCCCCATTCCCGTTCCCCGTTCCCCCGTACCCCGGGGCCGCCTCCTGCGGCGGATGGAGGCTCGGACGAGGTCGGAGCCCAGGGGCTGCTGGTGCCGCTGGGCCCGGGCATCGCAGAACCAGTCCCCGGTGAGGCTCCGCAGCCGCGCCGGGTCCGACACCGACTTACGGAGTTTGCTGGGGACGGGAGGGGGACACTGAGACCCCCGCCCTGGCACTGCCACCGGCCCCTGTGCCACTGCCCCAGAGCCTTCCCAACCCATGGAACTGACCCAACAGGGCCTGGGGGACACGGCCACCCCCTCCCAGGGCCTGGGGGACACGGCCACCCCCTCCCAGGGCTGGGGGACACAGCCACCCCCTCCCAGGGCATGGGGGACCCTCGGTGCTGCTGTGACAAACCAGGAGCATCCCCCTGGCTGAGCTCAGTGGGTGACCCCATCACCAGGTGAAAAGGGGACCTGGCTGTGTCCCCACGGGTGATGTCCCCGAGCTGGCAGCTCCTGGGGGTCCCGCTGTCCCTCAGGGACCCCCGGCCCACCTGATGCGCCCCTGCTCTCGCCGCCGGAGCTGCCAGTCCCGCCGCAGCACCTCGGCGATGGAGCTGCGCTCCTGCTCCGTCAGGAAGCTCAGGTCCAGCAGCGCCCCGGGCTCCAGGGCCATGGCGGGGAGCGGGGACAGCGCGGGGACACCGCGCGGGGCTGGCCCGGCCGGGCACGGGGACACGGGGGGCTCAGCGCGCCGGGCGTGCACCAGCGATGCCAACATCTGGAGAGGCTCCTCGGGACAGCTGTGCGGGATCCCCGCCGTCCATCCTGCTGGAAGGACACGGGGGGAGCTCAGAGCCCCCCCAAACACCCCGACAGGCGAGGAGCGGGGCGGTGCCGGGGGTGCCAAGGGAAGGGCACAGCCCGAGGTGGGGCTCGGGGGCACCGCACGGCTCCTCCCGCCCCGGCTCCGAGCCAGCCCAGCCCAGCCCAGCCCTGCCCTGCCCTGCCCGCGGCCCGTGTTTGCCCAGCGTGTTTGCTCAGGGCTGGCTCTGCCCCTGCCCGCTTTCCCAGGGCTTCACCGGCTGCCAGGGCACACGGACAGGTGGCAGAACGGGCTCTGCTGCCCTCGCGATGGGCTGGGACCGAACCGGGCAGAGACCGAGCTCAGCTCATCCCATCTCCCAGAGGGGTCTTGCCCCACTCCCGGCGTTGCCTCACGGCCCTTCCTGTCCCCGGTGTTGGGAAAGCGCTGCCTGGTGCCACCGAGGGCAGGAAATTGCAGCAGCCTTGGGGCAGGATCAGCCTGGACCCCTCCGGGCACCCCCCGGGCACCCACAGAGCCAAGCCCCGGCACGGCTGGGGTGTCCCGCCTCCACCAGTGGCTCTGTCCCCAGCCCCACTGGTGGCCCTGTCCCAGCCTGTCCCCAGCCCCTCGGAGGGTCCCATCCCTGCCCCGGGGGGGGGTCGGACATCCCCCAGGGTTGGGGACCCCCAGCCCAGTGGGTGCCAACCCCGCCAGCACCAGGGACCCCTCATCACACACAGGGGAACCCCAGCAGCCCCGGCCCCCTCGGGACACCCCTGGGTCCCCTTTGGGACACCCACCACCCCCCTGCACCCACATCGGCCTGGGGGGGCTCGGGGGACACGAACCGGCTCTCCCCGGGCTGGGGTGATGCTGCCGCTGTCTCCCCGCCGCAGCCGCTCGTATCCTGTTTACTGCCGGCACACGGGGGGGTCCCCCCGCCCCGGAACAGAGCCACCACCTAAAAATGTCACCTAGGTCTGAGCCAGGCGCTGCTGCCGTGCCCAGCTCCCCGCAGGGTCCCCAAAACCGAGCTGTGAAGAAGCAGCAGAGTGCAGAGGGGTGCTGGGCACCCGACCCCCCACCCTGCACGGGGGACCAGTCAAACCAGTTAAACCTCCCCAGCCAGCCACAGCTGGGGCTTGCACGTCCCCCTTTTTTCATTGCAGGCAGCCCGACAAGGTGGAGGGGGGGGTCCGGACGGCGTGAAACACCCCCGGCACCCCCTCCCCAAAATGCACCCAGGCCCAGCCCCTCCGGGGTGACCCCCAGAGCCCCCCCGGCACCGGCAGATCCCGATCGCCTCCAGCTCGGCCCGGGGCTGCCCCACAGCCGGGACCCCCTCGCCGCCCCCATCGCGAGGGGTGACCCCGGCCAGACCCAGGCCCCTGTCACAGCGTGGGGACAGCAGAACTCCCCCCGGGAAGGCGTGAGCAGCCCCCAGCCCGCGGCTCTCCCTGCGGAGCAGAGCGGAGGGGGGGGG